GAATATTCAAAATAAAAGACGAGACTTAACCGCTCCGTCTTCTCTAAACCTTGCATCGGTACCTGTCTATTTGTGACCTGAGAATACAAGTTATTTTGAAAGCGAGTATCAGCAATAAAGCTGGTGAATTCATAAGTATTTTAGTGTCATTACTTGTGAAAAGTTGTTATGAAAGACTCGTAAAAGTTCAAAGAAAACAGTTTTGTGTAAGTGTGAAAACCCTAGAAAATCCCATATTTCCTACTAGTATAAAAAGTAGTCTTCTACCAAGACCCTAATGTTTTGAAAGTATGAATTATTATTCAAATCTAATCTACCTCATTGATTATGTGAATGTGACACAAAGTAAAGGTAATAAGGAAGATAATATAAGAACATAAATTGTATCCTTTTGCACAAGGATATCCACGACGTGGAAACTCGCCGAACAGTACAACCGTAACTATGTGAATGTGTCACACAGTAAGGTAATAAGGAAAATAAAATAATAACAAAAATTGTATCCTTTTGCACTAGGATATTCACGGCATGGAAACTCGCTGAACAGTACAACCGTAGCCATCTGCCGATGTGCATTTTCCCTACTGTAGTTAACAGCCTTGGGTGTGGAATGGTAAGTCCCGAGTGTATATAATAGTATCTACTCATATAATATGTAATAGTATATATGTAATCGTATCTATGTAATCGTAGCCATGTAATAGTATCTCTACATACAACATATATGTAATCGTATCTATGTAAAGGTATCCATGTAATAGTATCTCTACAAACAGCATGTATTCGTATAGACTCATGAATGAACTGACTCTTGTGTAATTCCTTGTACTAGGAATGGCAAGTAGTATCTCCTAACTATACCTATTATAGTTACTAGTAATGTACGAGTATAATCGGAAGTATACCTTTGCTACCCAAAGGTACTGAATTGATTGATGGAACTTTTATGACTATATATGTATACATGATATATAACTAATATTTAGACGACCTTCGGACGGATAACCGATACCCTAAAGCCACATCCCAACGAGGAAAAGGAAATAAGGCGAGCTAGCCGTTCTAAGTCCTTTAAACATTACTTATATAAATATACATATATAGGCATGCATTTGACAATATAAAAGTATAAAAGAAATTTTGTAAAACCTTTGAAAAGTTTAATAACTAAGAAAGATGACTTGATGTCAGTTTATAAAACGATTTTGAAAACAGTTTGATAAGACGGTTTAAGTATAAGAAAACCTTTTGTTGGAAACACAACTGTAACAAATTTTGAAAGGAAACATACAGTGTGTAAGACAGTTTGATAAAGAAATTTGAACAAGTAAAAACGTTTTGGAAAGTCATTTGAAGTAATATGTTTGGTAAAACAGCTAAAAGTGTAGTAAATCCATTTGTATGCTGGTTATTAATCACATGTGATTGATATGATAACTAGCATGATTCAACTTGTATTCCCCCCATAAAAGCATTTAAAAACATTTAAAAGATTGATTAAGGGGTATGAACTCACATGTAGCGAGTGGATCGGATGGAAGTGTCGGACAAGTGCTTGGTGTTAAGTGAAGACTTGAACACACACAATGAACCTAATAACATATGAAGACATATGTATATATACAATTAGTGATTTTAACACTAATTAAGTAAGTAAAAACATCCTAAGGCGTGGAAAACACTTTAGTCAAAGTGTTAGGATGCTATTGGGTTGCAACAAAGGAGTGCAAGGCTTCACTATGGAGTTTACACTTCAAATGGTCACCCCTATGTGTATTTACGGTTGGAGGACCATTTCTCCCATGAGTTTACGACCGTAAACTCATGGGATTGGTGTGTTTGTGTGTCTTAAGGTCTCATGTTTCACAAAGAGGTGTCCTAGGGTCGATTCAAGGGCTTAGGAAGTGGTTAGGGCTCGAAATGGCATACTTTTTGGTGTTTACGGTCCTTGGACCAACCTTGAGAGTTTACGGTCGTAAACACTAGGGTTTACGGCCGTAAACCCATGTATGCCTCAACCTTTTCGTGTTTTGTGGTTCCTAGTTCATTCATGCAAGTTCCTAGTCCATAATCCATGCTAGAGAGGGAGTTAGGGGCATCAAAACACCCTTTAGGGGTGTTTACGGTTTTGGGAGATCCCCAAACCGTAAACACATGTTCTTGGGGGGGTTTTTGGTGTTCAATCCATGGTTTTCTAAGCACACTAAGCAAATAACTAGTTAGGAAGAGTATACTTACTTATAGGAAGCTTGTAAGGGTGTTTAGAACCCAAGAACACTAGTGTGTGTTCTTGGTGTTTTGAAGAATGCTTGAAGATCTATGTAAAAATCAAGAATCCATGGATGAAAAGATGTATAAACACTAGATTAAGGGTTGTATGAAAGAATCTAGGAAGGAAAACTTACACTTTTGGCGGATTTGGAAGAATGGACTAATGATACTTGAGAGAAAAGTCTTGTGTTCTTGAGGTGGGAAGTGGGAAGTGAGTAAAAAGGGTGTAAACTCATGCTATATGCATGAGTCCTTGGGGAAGAGGTGTTTACGGCCCAAACACCAATTGTTTGGCCGTAAACTCCTAGTTAATGTGTTGGTTGTTCGGTTTGTTACACCTTACTAATAACGACACTTCCTTTTATTAAATCGTTTGACGAAAAATAAAATAAAGCACCAAACGGGCTTAAATCCGGCCAAAAATGTACGGAAATGTTTTTGACTATTATTTGAAGTGTTTGACTGTAGAATTTATACAAGTGAAAATTTCGGGTTATCACAGAACCCGCAAATTGATGAAGAAAATCTGGATGTGGGTATACTTAATTGAAACCAATTAGATGATTTGCGAGGTGAAATGAATTGGGGTTTTGATGAAATGAGAAGTTGGAGTATGAAATTGCTGGGAGTCAAGAATTGTGAAGCCATTACTGAAAGTCAAACTCTTAACAAAGAATATAAAATCTTTTTTTTTCTATGCCTTTAATGAAATGTGAATATTAATTTGAGGGTGTGGACAAGAATTTGACAATTGGCACAATTTTAATATTACAATTCATCACAGTTCATATTTCATGTGAATTTTAGATTTTGTGTTAAAATTCCGAGTTTATATATTCCAATGATTATTAGTTCACTTACCTTGATAATTTTTAATGTTTTTGCATCATAAATTGTAGTAGAAAGCTTATTTTTGTCAATGTTTAATCCTCTGTGTAAAGCAATTTCATCCATCATTGTATACCACATCAGGGGTAAAATGGTCATTTTGCATCGGTCAACACATTCAGTCAGATGTACAATCAAACAACATGGTTTCTTACTCGGTCAGAACTTATTACTCAGACAGATTTTCTCAACCAGTAACTATCAAACGGAACCTTAGTATTAAACGGGACCTTAGTAGTCTAGTTTTATTATTATTATTATTATTATTATTATTATTATTATTATTATTTTTATTGTGTGTGTACACTATCCTTTTTTTCATGTTTTTAGTGGCTCCCACCTTATCATTCCTTTGTTGCTCGACTCGCTTAGCTTTTAATTTCAGTTCTCCCAACTCTACTTCTCTGTAACTAACATCTTCCTTATATATCTAGAGATGTCCCGGGCCCTTAGCTTATTAGTGGAGGTTAGGATGGATACAGTTGAGAATGAATTTCGATGAGTCAAAAGACATTTTCTCAAAAACTGTTTAATAGATTTTGCTGTGAATTATGTTACAGATAACTATTGTTGTGAATTATGTTGTGATATAAACTTGTTTTAATAGATTGTGAATATGGTGGTAGGTGAAAATATAATGCGGAAGGTGAGATATCATAAATAGTTATGCAAGTATTATTGTGATAATAAAGTGGTAGGAGAAATAAAATGGTGGTTCAATTAGTTACGGTGTTTCCAAAGGGCTTTTAACTCAGCAGTATCAGGTATTACATTTCCTCTTTGATATCGAAGGTTCAAGTTCCGTTGTGAACATATATTAAATTACGTGTTAGTTTAGAAGTAGATTAGATTTGTCGGTTAAAAACAAATTAGTTACAATGTCAGGTGAGTACTCTTAGATAACTTTTCAAAAAGTATTTTTTTTTAATAGAATTGGAGCTACAACATTTAATTGGTAACAATAAAACCTATTATTTTTTTTGAATCCGAAATGAATACTAATTCTTAATACTACGAAATATCATGTTACTGAAAAAATAATTATTTTAGTTGGTTTAGAAATACTAAAAAAATTAGTTGTTTTTATTGAATAATTTGTTCGTAATAGACTTTAGTTATTCAACAGTCTGACGGTATTAATATGTATTTGAAATATGTATCTACTTTGAAATATGAACAAAAGACATACATTTAGAAGTATGATTGTTTGTTTACCATTAAAAAAACAGAAATAAAAAATCCTTATATAAAAATCGCCAGTCAAGTCAGATCGCTAATTAATAGACCCGTGAATTATGCAAAATGGATGTATTTGACCCCTATTGAGGTGGCTCATGGCTGCTATATGTAATTGAAAATTATTAGGTTTACAAAATATAAATACTATATAAAATTATAAACGTAATAAACCCCACTTTGAAAATTGTAAGTTGACCCCTTTTGAAATAAAATAAAAGACTCTGTCTTATCTTTTGAATGTATACATTACTTTAAAGGCGGTTTTGTGCAACTTGCTAACATGAAAACCAAGATTTAACTTAAGAGGATAGCCATCCAACGCACCCATTTATGGAGATACTTTTTTGTGCTTTACTTTATGTTAGGATCGTAAGTCTCATATTTGTGGTTTTAAGTTTTCATTAATTATTATTTAAAAACCCGATCCGGCTTGTCATTGAGACTAGTTTTCTAGAATTTGGTCAAAAGTGATCTAATAATACGATATGAAACGCTTGCCAAAAATGTTTGGTGGAATAATGAAAAAATAGTCCCGTAAATGAACTTGTTACCTACAACATAGGTAATCATATCTCCTATATATAAATTGTCTCCCTTGACATCTCTCATTACTTCTTTAGAGGACAACCAAAAAATAAAGCCCACAAAGCAAATAACAAGAGCTTCAATAAAATGAATACAGAAAACTCGATCCGACAAGCAATATGTTGCTTGTTTCTTATAGCATACATTGCAAGAAGCCATGCTGCTGTTGTCAACATTAAAACCAAAGGTGCTAAGGGCGATGGCATAACCGACGATGGCCAGGTAATAATGATATACATCAATTAACATTATACGTTTCTTATATGTATATATAGATCTGCAAATTGTCTTACTTCAAACTTGTGTTAGATAATATCACCGACACTTTAGTCCTTGATCATATTCAATAGTAAATAACAAGAAGAAAATGGAGTCAACACTGTAAATCGTTATAATGAATCAACTCTGGGCAATTTAATCTTTAGAGAGAAACACTTAAAGTGCAAGTGTTCATTAGTGGGTTGGTTTAGTTTCCGAATTCCGATCCGTTTTATTAAACTTTCTCTGATTTTGGTCGAAATTTGTTTTGTCTGAAAATCGTTTTCTGGAAAGACCATCAAACAGGTTTGGTTATAAGGATTCCGAATATATATTTTTGGAATTTTTACACTATGAGAAGGTCCAGAAAAGATCAGTCAAAGTTTCTCTTTAACGGTCAACGCTGCCGGCAAACTACCGTCCGGCCAGCAGCTTTCCGAAGAAGACGACCACCATATCTACGTCGTTATCATCTACATCATCAAGTTGACTACACTTTAGTCTTTAGAAAGTTGAAGATAGTTCCTGTAGTTCTAAAACATTGCATAATGATCCTAATCATTTTGAAAACTCCATATTGGTCCATGAAATATTCGAGGTTGGTCATTGTGCTTCTTATTATTTGCACATTGGTCCATGTACTTTTTAAAGTGTGTGTTTGGTACCTTTAGCTTTAAATGTTGCATTTTGATCCCCAAACTTCTGAAATTTCCATATTGGCTCTTGGTATTTTCAAAAAATTATGAGTCGGTCGAAGTTACAGATGAACCTATCATTTTTCATGGAATGTTTTTTGACCCCTCAGAGGTATCCTAAAGTAGCCACGAGCATGGGTCTAAAGCTTATTCCTGTGGACATATTCTATAGTCTTCGACCCTTCTAACATTTGCTTAATTTTTTCTATTTCTTCCCCATTTTTTTGTTAACATATGTTTTTCATGGAATCTAAATGTTCATATACGATGGTCCGACTTATGCCCAAAATTATAATATGTGGAAAACAACGATTGAAGACTTATTGAATCAAAAGATTTAACATAGCTTTTAGAGAAAAAGGTCGTAAAAGTACTTGACACAAATCTGAAAGAGAATGAACAAGCAAATGGTGGCACAAATCCGAGTAAGCAACAAGGCCTTTCTCGCCCTTTCTAACGTACTAGGCGAAAGAAGTATAGGTGAAAGCCCAGTAAATTCCATTTTTCGATCGATCAACATAGCACCACTCAACATGTAAGAATCTCTTAGAATTGTAGATATGTTTATGGATCTATCAATACAAGAAAATGGTGGCACTAATCCGAATAAGCAGCAAGGCCTTTCTCGCCCTTTCTAACGTACTAGGCGAAAGAAGTATAGGGTGAAAGCCCAGTAATTTCCATTTTTTGGTCGATCAACATAGCACCACTCAACACGTAAGAATCTCTTAGAATTGTAGATATGTTTATGGATCTATCAATAGAGCAATTACATTCCAGTTGTAGTCTCAATCAAATATTCAATATGATGTTCACACTTTGTTTGACCCCATCAATCTTTCCATATAACAGTAGTAACTACAACTTCTTCCTTTTGGGCTTACTATCTCAACATACGTGAAAAGTACCTATGCTAGGTTAGAATCTAATACTAAACTCTAAAATGGAATAATGGTGACATACGAATAACCTTATCTTGGGATCATTGCATGTGTAAAGACCAACAGCATCATGGCATGATACGACCATAAACGTGCATGTGTTATGGTCTAAGAGAACTCATGTACTGGTGTTCGCAAAGTCATGCAAGCCTAGGAAGAATTAAAAGAAATTGATGGTTAGTTGGTTTATAGAGTTTGAAAAATGTTTTTCTTTCTAGTATGTGATTAAACCAATATCAATCTGTCTCTCTACAATTTGGTTGTTAGTATGAGGTAAATATAGGGTTGTCCCTTTCACTTCAATTGTCTACTCTGTAACCAATTCTTGGGAATTTTATTTTAAGAATATGATTGTATTTGATTTAGAATTTATCTTATATTCCACCCAGCTTCGTGATATGAGAATATTTAGAGGACTAACAACAACCACCTAGTTCAAATAAGTGTCGACTAATCCTACTGGTTGATGGCCTTGACTTTCTAGTTGGATATTATAAGTGGAAAGAGACTAATCCTAATTAGGATAGGTGGAATTTGACTAAAAATATGACGAAAGGTCAAAGTTGCAGGAAAGAAATCGACTAAAAATATGTCGATAGAGTAAGGGATAGGTCTCCTACTTCCTATAAATTCAGTTGTATGCCTAACAATAACTACCTCATAAGTGCTTCTCAATCCATCTTTTGATTAGAAGTAGATGCCTCTTCCATGACCATGTTTAGTCTTGTCTCGTATAAATGGATAAAAAGATGTTGAGAAGCTTGTTGAATAGGCCGAAATTGTTCTTTAAATCATAGTGGTTAATCTAAGATTTCAGAATGAATCTTCCTTTTGTGGAGATAAACAAAGATCATCCATACTAATAGAATTCAATAAAGAACTACCTGGAATGTCTTTACATCATGCATGTCTTTTTCACCACTCTAGTGACGTCCTTTTTCTTTGTTCATGACTTGAGTGCATTTGATTATGAACCTTTCAAGTAACTATAGTGATTCTTTCCTTTTCTCTTCCTTCTTTCCCAAAGATATTGACTTATTTCACTCTCTTTAAATAAGAATACAAGGAGGTAAAACAATTAGTATGACATTTTCGGTTGTTTAAATAGGCCTCATGGTCATATAGAGAACATCCAACTATTAGCCCTTTGTTCATGATACCTACCTTTTGAATAGATAAAATTACACAAATGGTCCTTATGGTTTACTAAAAGTTACAAGTTCAATCTATGTTATTTTTCTTTGACGAACATGGTCCTTATGGTCTCTAAAACTTGCATGGCTGGTCCCTAAGCCATATGCAATGACGTTTTTACCATTTTAATTTCTTTGATCCTTTGTAATTAATTTAAATTTAATATAAAATAAATAAGCTAATAAAACCCAAACACCCCAATCTCATCCCAAATAAATCCCAAATTCTCCCATCGTCCATTTTCATTCTTCAACGCATGCAGCCTCCTTAATTTTTCCCTTCCATCTTGTTCTAAACAAAGATTTGTGATTCATCGATCAAGAAAAGTCAAGAATCGACGACTGTTGGTTTTGGCCGACACATTAAACTGGAAGGCTAAGTATCAGGTTTAACACCGGTTCTTGGTTCGTCGTCATGTTGTCAGATTGATTTCCAAGGTTCAAGCCATCGGTTCTTTGGTTCGTCGGCATACACATGGACACTGACCTTAATTGAATTGCAGATGAGCTTCTACAAGACCTTCGTCTTCTCATTTATCTTACTTCTCCTCCTTTGTCTTAAACAAAATCGGATTATCAAGGGCGACAATCACATAGAGTACCATCAATCTATGGTTGATATGTATTTATGATCAATGGTTGTTACCTTTTTGGAAAAATTATGAACAAAATATGCTAAAGGGGGATGTGATTAAAGGAGAAGGAGGAGGGAAAACATACTTTCATCAGTTTATTCTTGCACATGTAAGGATGTTGTCCCTCTACAAAGCTACCGATCATGAAAATTTGAAGTTGAATATTCTAATAGTCACTTGCGATTTCTGAATTTCTCACCGGATAAATCTGTGATCAATGGTTAATTTGATTCTTTTGATTGAACTAAACAAGTCACCGCCATTATCAAGCAAGAAACAAACTTAAATCAGTTTCTTGTATTTATGTGTTCCTTTGTATCTTGAATCCCCCTCAAAGAAAATTGGATTTATTTTATTTCGAATTCTAGAACAAACATCGATGCCCATTGGATCCTTGTTATCGTGTTTGTGTATTCCTTTGTATCTTGAATCAATTTGCATCAAGGAAACAAATTAATTTGAGAAGTTGCCACTAACCCTCAGACTAATCATACCAATTGAGTCTTTATGATTTCTTGATTAAAGATCCATGTGTATTAATATTAGTGTTATTATTTTTATGTAATTGAGTACATGATCTAGGATTATGTTTTGATTGTGTATCTTGAATCAATAGTTTAGTTAACAACTAAGAAATCAGAAATTGACAAGTTGAGGCATAGATAGATCTGACTAGTGGAGACATCCCTAAGTTAAACATAATAATATTGATTTGATATTCATGATTGAGTTATTATTCTTTAATTTCTTCCATTTATCTTAGGTATTAAGTTTTGCTTTAAGTATTTTGGGCCTTTTAGAGCCACTGTTCTCCAGTTTTAAACCTCAATGCTTCTTTGATCCTTATTATTGTGTCTATGTGTTACTTTAATGGCCATCAAGTCTTTTGAAGGTATTAAAAGAACTTGGCATTGAGTTGCATCACTCAATGTCACAAAAATCTTTTGGTTAGCTTGGAAAAACGTTTTGGCACCCATTAATTTAGGTGGCCTTGGAATTGGTAGGTTGCAGGCCTCCAATCTATTGTTGCTAGACAAATAGTGATGGAGATACAAATAGGATAACAAGTCTATTTTGTTTAGTGTTTTTAGAGCTTTTCATGGTAGTGGTGATATATTTTCCTTTTCAGGTGTGCCTATACATTATGTGAAATAGACCTTATCTTAAACCTAATTGATAAAAGGGTTTGATAATATTTATGAAGCCATTGTCATAGATCCTTCCTGATTACATATATAAGTTTTTTGACGTATTATACAGATAAAGTTAATGTTAAGATTGTGGCCCATAAGGCTGCAAGGAGTGGTTTCATGCTTGCCATGGCCACCTAAGCTCCACATAAGCTATATTTTTATTTACCATTGCAAGGAAAAGAGAAAAGAGTGGTGTCATGGCAATGGAGAAGAGATGAAGAAGAGAGAGTGGAAAAGTAGGATTTAAAATACATATACAAATTGAAAATGGGTTTTTCTCTCTTCGACAACATGTTGAGCTCCACGTTAGTTTTGTCGAAGACTTTTGCCATCCACTTCCTAATGATGTCTCAAGTAGCCACATTAGGAATGAGATCCTCACCATGATACATGATAACACTAGGAAGGAATAGTAATTGAATTCTTCACAAATGCAAATTCTTTTTGATGGGATGTCATAAAGAAAATTAAATATTTATCATGAGTTCAAACAATTCTCGTATCTCTTCAACTATACTTTATTGGGAAAATATAGATTGTAATAAAATTGATTTACTACCTAACTAGCTATTATCATTAACCAAAATTAACCCCATAGTTAACTAGTATAAGATGATTTATGTCATTATGACTTTGCTATATCATTTTTAAATAGACACGATTGTTCCAATAAGGTGAAGAAATGATTAAGCTACACTATGTATATGTTTACACACCCACATATATGTATATGTGCTTAATATAACTCTACAAAAGATATTGTAACAAGTGGACCTTAAATTGTTTGTTTATATTTTAGGCGATAGTGAGTGCTTGGAACGAAGCCTGTGGAAGAGAAGCACCAAGCTCGGTGTTGATTCCACCAGGGACCTATATGGTATTTCCTCAGATTGATCTCATTGGCCCATGCAAGGCTCCAATTAAGATCAAAGCCACCGGAGCCGTCGTCAAGGCCCCACCTGAGCTTGAAAAGTTCACAACCACGTACTGGATCGCCATAAGGAATGTTAGTAAGTTGACTATGATCGGTGGTACTTACGACGGTCAAGGCGAACAAACTTGGAAGCAAAATTTATGCCCGGACGGCGGGCCAGGACCTTGCCCACTTCCAGTCGTAAGTGTTTTCTTTTCTAATTAAAAACTTGGTTAATTATTTCAATATTACCATATGCCATCTTTAACCATATTCTCCTTTCCCTTTCTTAGAATCTTCAATTCACTAATGTCACAAATTCATTGTTGAAACACATAACATCTACCGATAGCAAATTCTTTCACATGAGGTTATCTTTATGTGACAATACAAGACTTGATCATATCACTATTTTATCACCGGTAAACAGTGTCAACACAGATGGAATTCAAATCGGGCGTTTAAGTGGTGTCAACATCACAAACTCAGTAATGAGAACGAATGACGATTGCATTTCAATAGGTCAAGGATGCAGGAACATCCGTATTAAGAATATTATGTGCGGACCAGGAGATGGCATAGGTATTGGGAGTTTGGGAAGACGCGCAAATGAAGAACCCGTACAAGGAATCTGGATTAAGAATGTCACCATGACAGGCACAGAACACGGATTCAGGATAAAGACTTGGCCTACTTCTTTCCCAGGAAGTGTTAGTGACTTGCATTATGAAGATATCATCATGAACAATGTGTCATTTCCCATATTCTTCGATCAACAATTTTGCCCTTTGAATAACTGCCAGGTATCATACATAAATTAGATAATTTAGTGTTTGAACTTAAGTGAATGAGTACAAAGGTAGAAAAATTAATATAGTTTTTGTTTACGACTACTAGAATGGAACTGCATCAAACGTGAACATATCGAATGTGAGCTTCAGGAATATCAGGGGAACATCAGCAACTAAGGTGGCATTGAAGTTTGATTGCAGCGCAGATGTACCATGCAAGAACATAAAGGTGGCTGATATTAATTTGACATACGAAGGACCTGAAGGAGGACCTGCCACCTCTGAGTGTTCTAACATTAAACCCAAAGTCGTCGGTCAAGTTGTCCCTCCAGCTTGTCCAGGTGGGCCAGATTAAAAAAAACATGATCTACTCCATATATCGATGGGCAAAGCAGATGGGCGCGTAATGGTTGTGGAATTCTCTGAGGAAATAAGTAAATGAAAAAATTCACACAATTCCGGCGACATTTCTACATAGATGTACATTGCATGTGCTGGAGTATTTCGTATTCTATGTTACTATTGATTGGTTATTAAATGATTGTTAAATGGGATTTGCTAATTCTTGAAAACTTCATCCATAAAAGTTACTGTTATTTCTAGAGGATTTTAATTAATGTTTCTTGTTTTAACGTATATGTTTAGGGCGTAGAAAGAAAAAAATGAAACCGAATAAAAGGTTCGAACCAAATAAGATTTGGGTTTAACCGGTTAAATCAAATCTTATTCGGTTCAGCTTTCTTCGGATATATATTGTTCATAATTTGTGTTTCAATATTTGTTTTATAATGCTAATTGTCATTTGATTAACGTTCTTATACACTACAAGAAATAGAGCCTTTAGCGGCGACATCAATGGCGGCGACAGGGAGCTTTAGCGGCGACAAATTAAAAAGTCGCCGCTAAAGGCCTTTGTCGCCGCTATTGGTGTCGTCGCTGAAGACTGAATGCCACCGATCCGCTCTTTGACGTTCTGGCAAACACGAATCGTCCGATTGTGGTTCTAATCCAACGGCTAGGGTGCTCGTGAAACGCATAAAGGAAATACCGGCGACTTTTGTCGCCGCTAAAGATAAAAAAATGACGCGGTAATAATTCCCTCCTGATAGTCGCAAGAAATAAAACTGCACTTTGATTTTTTGTCTTAGTTTAAAAATAGCAATCTACTTTGGCATCATAAAATGCATGTTGATTTGGTAATTTTGGTTTTGTGGTGATTATTTGATAAAAACTTTGGTAATTGGGTTTTTGTCCCAAGTGCAAGAAATAGCAATGTACTTTGGCTTTTTGTCTTAATTTAAAAATAGCAATGTACTTTGATAGTTTTTGTTTATGTTTGATAATTTAACTTATAAGTTTACATATGTTGTTATTTATTATGTAGTTGGAAAATCTTCGTGCAATACTCAACGACCCGACATGTAGGGATGAGCTTTATTCGTTTTTCCAATCACAGAATAATCGAGGAAACGATGAGAACGAAGATGATGGTATGTAGGGAGGAGTTTTATTTGCATATTACACTTGTTGTCACACTTTCCTACTTGTTAGCTTGTAAAACTTTTGGTTGTTTTCTGTAATTACCGGCGATATTATTACCGGTGACACTATTACTTTTGATATTTAATCGGATCTGTAATTACCGGCAACATTATTACCGGTGACACTATTACTTTTGATATTTAATCGGATGTTTGTTTTGTAATTATGGGTGACACTATTATTTTTTATATTTAATCGAATGTTGTTATGTAATTACCGGCGACACCATTACCGGCAACCAAAATCGTTGATTAAAAAACAAATTTTAAAAATGAAAATTGTTATTACCGGCGACACTATTACCGGCGACACTATTACCGGCGACTGCACTCTTTAGCGGCGACATAGTCATTAGCGGTGACAATTATCTTTAGTGGCGACAATTTGATCAATAGCGACGAAGCAGTAGCGGCGACTTATTACCGGCGACATGTCGCCGCTATTACCATTACCGGCGACAATGAGACCCTTTAGCGGCGACCTTTGTCGCCGCTAATTGCCTTTTTCCTTGTAGTGTTAGTTTCATGTTTACGTTTTAACTCGACTTTTGCCAATGCTAATAATTGCTATTTGATAAATGTTTTGGAGTTCTTGGGTTTCTTTGATTAACAATAAAACGTTTTTAGTATTGACTAATTATTTACAATTTGTTGTAGAAAAAAGATCAATCGAAGTGAAAGTTGAGAAACTTCAAATCTTGAAATGAGTTCTACTGTTCTAGATCTCCAAATATTGTTGAATAATATAGGAGTGCCCCAAACATTAAGGGCTCAACCCAAATAAGAGATTAAAGAGCCATCCAATCTAGATATGAAGTTTTAGTTCCTTAATTCATTAAGAAAAATCTTAGCACTTCTATATCCAATGGAATAGAAGGGGTGCCAATTAGAGAGTCTCAGAAACACATGTAGAATGATATCATTCTCTTTGATATGATAAACGAATACAATATCCTACATATAGAAGATACATAGGGCCACTTGGGCCTGAAGCCTATAGATATACAAATACATGGGCTTATACAAAATGTGTACACTAACATCCCCCACAGTTTTATCAGGAGGATAATTCCGAACATTCAAACTGGTCTTAAAATCCTAAAAAAACTAAGATGGAAGCCCTTTGGTGAAGATGTCGGTGTACTGGGCGGAGGACGGAACTTGAAACACACGAACTAACCCACGAGCAACCATATCGCGCACAAGTGAATGTCAATCTCGATGTGTTTAGTACGTTGATGTTGAACTGGGTTTGAGGACCTGTAGACTGAGCTGATGTTGTCACAGTAGATGATGGTAGCTTTCTGCAGAGGACACTGTAGCTCTCGAAGAAGATTGCGGACCCAACATGTTTCGGCTATAGCGTTGGCCACCCCACGATATTCCGCCTCTATACTAGGCCGAGAGATGACACCTTGACGTTTCGCAGACCATGAAATAAGGTTATCTCCATGAAATAAACAACAGACAGAGGTAGAGCAACGAGAGACCAGACACCCGTCCCAATCTGCATCAGAATACACGACAAAATCAGAAGAAGGAGATACGTGAAGTTGAAGACCATGATCAAGAGTCCCTTTAACATAGCCAAGAATACGCTTGAGAGAATGAAGAAGAGGCTCCCGTGGATCATGCATGTAGAGACAGATTTGTTATACCGAAAAGGCAATGTCTGGATGGGTGCATGTGAAACACTGAAGGGCTCTAGCAAGGATGCGATACAAGGATGGGTCTGAAACTGGGGGTGGGCATTGGCGTTTAACCTATGATTCGTCTCGGCTGGAGTGCGGGTTGGGTTACACTGGAGCATGTGAGCTCGCTCTAGAATCTCTGAAGCGTATTTCTTTTGAGAGAGAAATAAACCATGTGGAGAGCGAGTGGTAGAGATACCCAGAAAGTATTTGAGAGCTCTTATATCGGTCATGGAGAACTCTCGAGTAAGTTGGGAGATAATCCGTTGTAAGAGAGTCGTGAAGGAGGCTGTAAGAACAATATCATCAATGTATAAAAGTAGATATGCAATATCTGAGACATGATGATAGATGAAAAAAGATGAGTCCGTCAGGCTGTGCTAAAAACCCATATGAAGAGGATGTTGAGCAAATCGCTAATACCAGTCCCTAGGAGTCTTTTTGAGACCATAAAGTGATCCCTGTAGATGACAAACATAATATTGATGTTGGGGGTCTCGGAAACTTGGTGGCTGATGCTTATAAACTATCTCCTGAAGGTGACCATGAAGAAATGCATTCTTCACATCATGCTGGTGAAGGGGTCAGTGTCGTGATAGTGCTAGGCTCAAAACAGTATGAATTGTAGATGGTTTAACGACCAGACTAAAGGGCTCATCACAGTCAATTCCAGGTTGTTGACTGCGAGCATTAGACACTAACCGAGCTTTGTAACGCGAGAGAGATTCGTTTGCATTAAACTTCTGATTAAATAACCACATAGATCGGACCATATTGGCTCCAGGAGGACGTGACACTAAGACCCATGTGCCATTTGAAATAAGTGCATTTTATTCCTCATGCATGGCTTTTTTGCCAATTTGGATCTTTCAAAGCCTGTAAGTGTGACCTCCGGACAAATGAGATAGAGGAGGAATGAAGGTTAAGGCATTGGGTAGGTTTGAAAATTCCGCTTTTAGAATGAGTATTCATGTGATGAGTGGGAGGAGGAGGAGGAGGAGAAAGGGAAGGAATGGGAATTGAATCCTCAATGGGTAAATTATGGATGGTTTGAGAAAGAGTTGGGTCAGAAGTATGAAGAGTGGGTGTGATATATGATGGATTAAGAATTTGACGGGTGATAGGTAAGACTTCCATGTCAAAAAGAAAATTATAGGATGGAGGTTCGGTGGGGGTAACTGAACCCTAAGGGAAGATAGTCTCGTCAAAAGTGACATGGCAAGATATTATGATCTTTCAAGTGGAAAGGTCGTAACAAAGAAACCCACGGTGATATGTGGGATAGCCCAACAAATGCATGGGGTTGAACGGGGCTGAAGTTTATTGGTAGTGTGGATTCAGGGAAAACATAAACATCCAAAGACACGGAGATGATTATATGTAGGATGACAATGAAATAGACGATAGTGAGGAGTGTTATTGGCTGTGGGCACAAACAGAAGGATATTAAGTAGGTGAGTAGCCACGTGAAGAGCCTCTGCCTAAAAGGTAAGTGGGATGTGAGAGTGGAGGAGGAGAGTACGCATCATATTACTGACAGTATGGATCATGCGTTCAAATTTCCCTTTTTGTTTGGATGTGTGAAGGTAAGAAAATTTGAATGTAATGACATGAGAATCAAAATAGTCATGAAATAATTGATTATTATATTCACAACCATTGTCACATTGGAAATGTTTAATTGTAACCCCGAAATTATTTTTCACAATATTGGAGAAATTGAGAAATTTTTGAAAAGCTTCATATTTGTTTTTAAGTGGATATACCCACAGATAGTGAGAGTAATGATCGAGAAATAAAATATAATATTACAATCCACTAACACTAATAATAGGAGAAACGAACAAGTCTGAATGAATAATATCAAAAGGTGCACAAACAATAGAGTTCGAAATATAAAATGGGAGTCTAGTGTGTTTGCAAAGTTGACAAGTTTGATAAATGAGACTACTGGCCTTATTACAAGAATTAGAGCTATTGGAGTATAAATGTTTCAAAACTTGGTCGCCTGGTTGACCAAGGCGTTGGTGCTATGTGGTGGAGTTCGCGGTGAGGAAAGCATGACTTGTGGAAGCGGTCACCGGGTAAAGAGGTCTGGAGCTATCACATCGGATGAGAGGTCGCCGTGTCTTATAATCAAGAACAGTAAAACCAAAATGGTCAAAATCAATAGAGCAATTATTTTGAGTGGTAAATTGTCGGACAAATATTAGATTTTTAATAATGTTTGGTGTAATGAGTACGTTTTTTAAATGGAGTGGACGTGAG